GCGGCCCGACGGCGGCGACGCCCTGAGCGAGCAGAGCGGCGCGCCCCCGCCCTCCACGCTGGTGCAGGGCCCCCAGGGGAAGCCGGGCCGTACAGGCAAACCCGGACCTCCGGGACCCCCCGGGGACCCGGGTCCTCCGGGCCCTGTGGGGCCACCTGGGGAGAAGGGTGAGCCGGGCAAGACCGGCCCTCCCGGGCTACCTGGCGCGGGGGGCAGCGGCGCCATCAGCACGGCCACCTACACCACGGTGCCACGCGTGGCCTTTTATGCCGGCCTCAAGAACCCTCACGAGGGCTATGAGGTGCTCAAGTTCGACGACGTGGTCACCAACCTAGGCAACAACTACGACGCGACCAGTGGCAAGTTTACGTGCAACATTCCCGGCACCTACTTTTTCACCTACCACGTCCTCATGCGCGGCGGCGACGGCACCAGTATGTGGGCGGACCTCTGCAAGAACGGCCAGGTGGGCCCGGCGGGGCATGGGGCTGTCCTGGGAGCAGGACACCCAGAGGGCCCGGGGCTTATGGGTAATGGGTCCGTGTCGGCGGGTGGGGGACCTACAGCGGCCCCACTTAGGTATCGCATGCGGAGATGGTCGGGGCCGGCTTTCATCCCTTACTCCTCAGCTCCTGGGGGTCCGTGGCATAGAAATTCAGAGGATAAATCCAAATCAGAGCGCTGTGCTTCCAGCTGCGAACTGGCGCTTGGGGCTTGGCCCTTTGGAAGTGGCATCTGAGAGCTGGAATTCCGGTTCATAACAGCGGGCGGTAAGGGGAGGGTAAGAATGGGCTCTGCGGAAAGGCAGACTGAGCGCCCGTGGGTGCCGGGGCGCAGGGCTTTGCGCGCAATCTGAGAAAGCGAGCTGTAGGAGGTGTTTTGGGCACAAAGGCGAAGGAGCCCGGCGCGCAAAGCTGCAAAGCCATACTGGAACACACCCCCCGCCCTTGGGAAGGGACCACTCACTCGGCCTATCTGACACTAGGAGAAACGCGGGTCTGCGCGGTCCCTTTCCTTGTGTCAGCGCAGCCTGCACCTAGAGGCGGCCTGGGGGGAAAAGTTTTTCCTCCTGAGGCAAGGCAAAGCGCTGGAAACTAAACTCCCCCTCCTCTGTGTTTCCCAGCGGCAACTCCAGACTCCAGGCGTAAGGAATCCCTACCCCTTCCTTCCCTCCTCATCCCTATCCTAGAGACCAGAGCCGAGGTCGCCAAGCGCAGGGATCTCTAATACCATGTCTCGGGTGCTCCACTAGAAACTGCCCCTGGGGATCAACTGGACCTAACCTTGCCCCAGGACCACAGTTTGCATTGCTCCCCTACCTTTTGTTACCCCTTCCTTTCCCAGTGTTTCTGGAGAAGTGGTCCAGCTGCTCCCTTCACCCCACCCTCCTCTGGCCCATCATTCTTGGGGAATAAGGGGGTGGTTTCTGAGTTAGAGCTAAAGCTGGATTAGTAGGAGTTGAGCAGAATGCCCTGAGACTAAGACCCTAAAGTAGACCCTGGCTTTGGGGTGAAAGAAAGCACTAGCATGGGGAGTCAGCAAAAAACTCTACCAGATGGTTTAAGTCTGTTCCCTGTTCTCTCTCCTCTACCTGCTTCTCTGTTCTCTCTGATTTTTGCCTCTTCTTGCACCTTTTTCTCTCTGCCCGCCCCCCCTCAATAACCCTTTTGAGTTCAACCCCATCTTCTTTATCCCTGAAATGTCTCTCCCTTGTGTCTTCCTCTTTGTCCCTGGTTGCTGACCTAAGGGAGGCCCCACTATCCAGCCAGGACTCATTCTGCAGACAGCCCCATGATTCCTCTTATTAATCACCAATAAGGGAGGCAGCAATGTCACCTTTGGCAGTGGAATGTCTTCCTTCCCCAAAGAAAGTTTGGACTGGCCCCAAGCTCAGGTTTCAGGAGACTGAAGACCTGGCTGGCCTGAGTAGGCAAACAGTCACTAGGGCACCTGTGGGCCCTCAACCCTTACCACCTCAGGACCTCGAGAGAAGACCCAAAGATGGTGTGTGCTTGAGGTGGGGGCACTGGCTTCAGTCCCTGGGAGTGGAACTGCCTCAGAAGCCTCTTTCTTCCCTCAGGCCAGTGCCTTGGCAGAGCCTGACTCCGAGGTGCTCATTCAAAGAGGGGCTGGCTAGTAGAAACGAGGATGTGGCTTCACCTAGGGGTTCAAAGACCGGCATTTTAATAATTATTCCCTCATGCCCCTATCCCACCTCTGAAAAGGACAAGAGAAATAGTGCCCACCTCGCATGCTTCATGACTTCTTCAGATTGCTCAGGAGACTCACTTAATCCCACCCACTAGTCCACATGTTTCTTCTGAGCCTCTCTTAGGGTCAGGTTTGGGGCTGGGCACCAGGGGTTCAGTCATCTTGCTCTCCTGGACCTAGTACTGTGTGCAGATAACTACAGTTGGGTGGTATAACTGCCTACTAATACCCCCCCCCAAGAAATTCCTGTATTTGAAGAGGACTGGGATCCCAAGTGGCAACTTCTGCCCTCAATGTCTTGTCCAGAAAGAGTGATTCAGTGGGACCTGCCTTGGCTCAAACCGACCTGGTGTGGGGGAGGGCTAGGAGGAAAAGGAGAGAATGCTGAACCTAGGTCCCTCAGCAAGGAGCCACTGCTAGGGAGAAAAAAAAAAGGTCAAATGTAGGGAATGAGTGGCTTAGAGGTGGAAGAGGGCATTCTGGTGAACAGAGAAAAAACAACAGGCCACACGGTGGATGGAGACAGAAGAGGAGCTTGCTCCTCCCCTGCCTTCAAGACCACTAGCAACCCGAGGTTCTGTGCTTTTCCTTCCTGGCTTCCTGCCTATAGAGAGGTTTCCAGAATTTCACCAGGGAGGCAGGGCAGAATGTTGGCCCTGGTCTTCCGTGGGCAAGATCAGGCGTGGAAAGAGTCATCATCTTCCTGCCTGGTGGTAAGGCCCCCTCTCTGTCCTGTGTGAGGCCGCCAGCCCTTCTCCCTGGGGGTGGCTTTGATGCTGTGCAGCCTGGTGGCACTAAGTCTTGTCATCAGGATAAGGGGAACCTCAGAAAGCCGAGGAAGGGATTCTAGGTTGGGGGAACCTCCCTGGATGAGGTGAGCTCCCTGCAGCTGCCTCTAAGGCCCATATCTCAGCTGGGCCTGGGAGGATACGGAATTGATCAACTGGGTTAAGAGAGGAGTTGTGTAGGGGTGGGCCAGAGCCTACAGCCTGGTGCCCCTTATCCCCTCCCCCAGGGAAGGGGGCTGTGGAAAGGTATTACCAATGTCAGGAGCTTGGACAGCAGAGTCTGAGTGAGGTGAAGGGTGATGAGGATACATGAGGGTATAGAGACCTAATTGGAGGTAGGTGTTTCTCCTGATGGTGTAAGAGGGGCCCCTAGCCGGCCTCTCTGGCCTGAAATACCTAGTGGACCCTGTGGGCCAGGCTGGCTGCCTGTGGGAACCACATCAGCACATCTCAGACCCCAGCACAGACGTCAGCCAGAGGTACATTTCCTAAGTTCTGCCCTCACCCGCCTTTCCAGGCCCCTGGTCAGACCACTGCCTCGGTTTCCCTTCCTGGCAGCCCTTGAAGAGGTGATTGGAGTCTCCAGCGCCCCCTCGTGACAAGCCCCAGGCTTGCTTTCCTGCTTCCAAGGCAACCTCCTGTCCCCAAACTTCCCCTTGGCCCCCAGGAGGAGTTGGATGCCTCAGCCAGTTCCTGTCTTGGGCCTAGACTCAGGACCCCTGGGCTCTGTTCCTGGATTCCCCACTGCCTAAGGATGGAAGAGCATAAATCCTCCCTACCTCCATGGATAATTAGGATAATCACAGCAACAATCATGGTGATGAATAAATAATAAACATAAGCTTAACTGTTCTGATGCCTGTCACATCACCCGGAGATTCCTGGTGACAGATGACTGTATTCTAATGGATTTGGCTATTAAGCAGCACACTGTTTTAATGAGTTAAAGCTAAATTAATCTGGGTAATAAAAATAATTGTTATTAGTAGTAATTTATTAGCAAAGATAATGAAATGCATGTGTAATAATAAATACGACTGGGATGGGGGCCCGGGGAACAATATAGAACTTGGCTGCTTGTTCTCAGCTCTTTCCTAGTAACTCAGTCCCATCAAGATGACACTTTTTCTTCACCATCAAAGGGCTTGTACACAAGTGGCAATGATGAGGCAGGATCTTTTCATCTATTTTCTAAACAGACGCTGAGTCCCTTGACAAAGTGTCCCCTCGTTTCATTTCCCCCCTACCCTTAGCTGGACCACCTTTAGTTCTTCCAGCTAAATGCCTCAAACAACTCCTTCCCAGGTTGGGGAAGAGGTTGAGGGGAGAGAAGGAGCTGGAAGAAGCTGGGCTTTTAACGGAAGCCTGCGTGCAAATCTGTTGGGTCCTCTACCCAGGTACTGCTGCTGAGTCAGCAGCTTTGGCGGAGCTGACCCGCGGGTCAGCCTCCCACCCAGGGGAGAGCATGGGTCCTTTCCTTCATTTGACTTGGGCTGGCCCCCAGCGACCACGCTCGAGGGAGCTGCCATCACTGAAGGGGTAGGAAAGTTGAGGAACCTTGCTGAGGAAACCCCACTCAATGCTGACCTCCCCCTACACAAGGCAGAACCTTGGGGAAGTTTCCTTTCTCCCCATTCTGCTCGCAGGATGCCCTGGAGAGGCCCGAATCCTAAGGCTCAGACCTTGCATTGCCTCAACTGTTGAAACAGAAAAGCCAAGAGTAAATTTGTCCACCACCAAATAGCCTCGATATTTACTGTTAGTCAGACCCACAAAGTCACTCTAGTAGGCTCCCCTGTCCCACTCTCCCTCCTGATTCTTCCCTCCCCATCAAAAACAGGATGAGTAAGGACAGGAGTCAGGATCCCAGGGCCTGGACTCCCTTCCTTTCACCCACATCTTGTCTGCTCCCACTTTGGAGTGGGATAATAAGCCAGGTATAGTGATAGCTCTTTTGGGGCCAGCCTGCAGACCCAATCTGAGCTTGGGAGGGGAATTAATTACTTAGCCTTCCATCTCACTGCTTCTACATGACAGACTCCAGAAGAAATTTGAGACAAGGAGTCAAAAGATGGGGTCATGGTACTAGAATGCCTGCTTTGCAGCAGCCTGGCATTGGCCCACACCCTGACCAATGTCTACCCTCATGTCCACCCACAGACATAAGAACTGGTGGATGTGTCTGAAAGGGAAGGCAGCATTATCACAATTAAAGCAGAGAGGGGGCCTCCCTGGTGGTGCAACGGGTTAGGAAGCAGCACTGCAAGCTGGCCGATACCGCTTCAGTGCAAGTTCCATCCCTGGCCAGGGAGTGACCCACATGGTGCAGCAGACCTCTCCTGTCTCCCCACCACTCCCCTCAGCAGTGTGTTTCAGTCAGTCTGCCTGCTCTGTTCCCCTCTCTGTCTCTGGGGAATCCTCTCATTGCCCCTGCACATCTGGCCTGTACCCCAGCTCTGTATGAATAAATAAATAGATCTTTAAAAAAAAAAAAAAAAACAGAGGAAGAAATGTCCAGAAAATTCCTCTCTGCAAAGAGGGCCTTCCAAGAGGCATTGCTGAGGTCTTGGAAGAGCAGGCAGCAAGACCAGCAGTTATGGAAGCAGAGTTCTCCTTGACTCCCAGTTCACAGAGATCACCCAGTCTTCTCCACAACCACCTCCCAAACAGGTTGCAGCTGGCCCGGGAGGAGGATGCAGAGAGGAGAAGGCCCAGAGCTCCCCAGGGGGGCTGGAGGCTGGGCTTTTAGAGCCCCTGTTTCGTCAGAGTGGCTGCCTTACCTCTGACACGCCTCTCTTCGCCACCCTGCTTCGCCCCCACCTCCTCCCTGCCCTCAAGCACATCTACACCACCACTCCCATTACCTCCCTCGCAGGTTCGGGCCAGCGCCATAGCCCAGGACGCAGATCAGAACTACGATTACGCCAGCAACAGCGTGATCCTGCACCTGGACGCTGGCGACGAGGTCTTTATCAAGCTCGACGGAGGCAAAGCGCACGGCGGTAACAGCAACAAATACAGCACGTTCTCCGGCTTCATCATCTACTCCGACTGAGCATCCCGCGTCCCCCTCCACCGCCCCCCCCTCCCCGGGATTCCCGGGGAAGGGGGACAGAGGAGGATCCATCTCCTGCCCGTTCCCAGCTGCCAGTCCTCCCGGCTATGACGCCCAGGCCCTGCTCTCCACCCGCCCGGGCTGCAGTTAGGCCCTCACGCTGATGCGCCGCAGAGCCGGTCCAGCGCGTCGCGTCCCGATGCAGGGAGGCAAGGTTGACCGCCCCTGCCCCGGCCCGCGCTGTGTGTTTGTACACTAGGACTGTTTGCTGCCCTCCTCCGTTCGCCAGCCCTAGTCTTGGGGCCCGTCTCAGCGGGACTGGCGTCCAGAGCTCGGAAGCGCTGTCCTCCGGCTCCCCGGTGGCGCCGCCTGGGGGAAGGGTGGGGGTAGGGCTGGGATAGCTTCCCAGCACCCCCAGAAGCTCCTGCCCCAGTCTGACCAAAGCTATAATAAAAACACTTCACCCTGCTGGTTTTCATTCTGTGCCCTGGAAAGGAGTTGCAGGAGGGGACCATGAACACTACTTCCTCCAAGCTGGAGAGGGAGCTTCTGGAAGCTTCCCCCACATATGGGGGAAGCCAGAGTCAAAGCTCCAGGTCTGGGCATCTGCAGTGGGGAGCAACTCAATTCCATCTTCATTTTCCCTGGTGGAAACAGTTTTTGGGGGTGGGAGGGGGATAGAGTGCGTCTTAAAAATGGCTTCAGTATCTTAAAGGCATGATAAAAGTTTAAACTGGGAGACCAAGGGTCCTTTTCTGGTGGCCCTTGGACTTCTTTCTGACTCAATTTTTAGTTATTGACAGCAATGAGAGGAACAAATTTCTAGCTAAAAGCTGGTTGACCTTGACCTACTTCTGGGCCTCAGTTTTCTCATCTATAAGATGCAAGTGATAGGACTACCTCATCTGACTGAGGATTAAAGATGTATAATGTATGTGCTCAATAAACACAGCTTTTATTATTTATACATCACTTTAAAGTTTGTAAAATACTTTCAGGTATGTCATCTCACTCAGGGCTCCCAAGAGCCCTGGGAGGTTTGATGAGGTGATTTTATTCTTCCTGGGAGCTTAAATGTGGCGCAGTCCCTAAGTCCTGTGATTGCACTTGCATCCCAGAAGCTCTTGCTCCTTGGAGAAAGTACACTCAGTCTTCTTGTCCTGCCACTAATCTCTCCCCTCCTGTAATAGGGCCATGACTGTCCACAGTTAGGGCACTCCTAAATCATAACTACTAATATTTAGAGAGCACCCACTCTGGATTCCATATAAGAACTTTACAAATATTAGCTCATGGATCTATGAGTGGGAGGGGGTTGGGTTGGCAGGAAATGCTCAAATGCCCTTTAACTTGGCTGTGTTATTTTATTCATGGTAGATGAGGAAACTGAAGCTTAGAGAGGTTAAAATAAACTTGTGAAGGCCACAGAGAGGCAAATGCCATTATTTGAAGCAAAGACCGTGCTCTTAGCCAGTATACCGCATGTCATAAAGGTATGGGATCATCAAAGCAGAAATGAAGACTGCTGGCACTGAGGTGGCTGAGCCTCCTTCCCTACCGAGCCCAGCCCTTCCATTCCTACTCCCCCACCCCCACCCTGCAGAGGCTTCATGGATTTACAAGCATCTGCCCTGGGCAGCAGCCTTGGGGGGAGCTGTTGGAGAATCCCAAGGCTCTACATTGAGGCAAGGTCCCATCTGGCCTCCCCTCCCCAGGCTGGCTCAGCTGGAGAGACAGGAAGGAGGGGTGGCCTCCCTCCCAGGCAGGCCCCATGTATGGACCCTTGTCATGGTTGGCAAACTTGAATGCCTTTCTTTGTCCTCCCTTCTCTCCCCTACTTCCCCCTACTGCCAGCTGTGGCCATTTAATAAAATTAGCTTAATGCTTGTTCCTTCCCTGTAGGGTCTGAAGATTGAAATCTGCGGGTCCCCACAAACCCAATAAAACCCCTGGCAGGTCTGGCTGGAAAGAGAGTTCCTTGGGAAGAGTGATTAGATTAGATGATACTCCCTCTCCCCTCTCTACTCCCAGTACCACCCACAGCCCCCTGTGATATTTTTAATGAGCATCATTCCTTGGGGGGCACTCCATCCCTCCCCAGAGATCACAGGGACTGCTCTGGGGCCTCTGCTATGACAAAAGGCATGTTACTCATTCCTGCAAGAACTGCCTGACTGGCTGCTTTGCATTCTTTTCTATCTGGTGACCGAAGATTCTCCTGTCCTCCTGTCATTTTGAGAGATGGGCCTGAAATCCCCATTTTTGCAGTTCAGAAATCATAGTCTGAAGAGGATTTGTGACTCGTCCATGGTCATGCAGCAAGTCTGTGGCATAAGTAGGCCTGGAGTGAAGCCCAGGACTTCCTCTTCTTTCGCATGGGGCTGTCCTACAGGGCCAGCTGCTTGTCACTCAGGCAGCATCCCAACTGTGGGAACCTGTCTAGGGAAATGTGTCCCCCATAAGACAGGAGCACCCACAACAAGTGTCCCTTTGGCCCCTCAGAGTGGGACACCCCAGGGTGAGGACTGTGTCTCCACTACCAGCATGGGAAGTTTCCTAAAAGCAAGACACGTGTGTCTTTTCCATCAGACTGGGGATCCCCAAAGTCAGTGTTTTGAGTGAGTGGAGGGACAGTCGGATGTGCCCGCAGCCAGGGTTTGGGCTGTTTCCTGAATATAGGGACTGTGGCTCCTCTCAGTGGCTCTGAGGCTACATACTATGCCTTTTCTATTAAACTAGGGATTACTGATGCCGGATCCTAGGCTATGGGTTCCCTGAAAGTTGTCTCCTCATCCACTGGGCGCTCCCCAAAAGCAGAGCATGTGTCCCCTATTCCCCAGTCAGGGACTTTGCAGGCAGAGGAACATTCCAGGGGGCAGGGCCAGGTGATGGCTCCATTCTGGAGGAAGGAAGAATCCTCTCAGGGCTGCCTCTCCTTTCGGAAGGTGTGTGATTAATTAATGAATAATGTCCCTGCTGGGGGCAGGGAAGAAGGTGTGTGAGGATGGAGGTGCTCCTGGAGCTCACCCACACAAGGAGTGAGAGGTCAGCCTGTGCCAGGCAACTGCCAGTCTCAGGGGCTGGTGATGCCCTGGTTTCTAGGGTCAAGAGTGCCAGAGGGGACAGTGGGCATCCACCGCTGGGGGCTTCCCTAATTGGATGAGTTTGCAGGAAGGCCAGGCAGGTGTGCTTGGCTCTCAGCTTCAGTGTGCTACAAACACATCTGCCTGGGTGAGGTCCAGGGGTTAATTGCCTCCCGCCACACTCCTAGTAACCAATATTTCATTTACTGCTCGGAGCGGGAGCTGCCCAGTGAATCAATCCGGACAAGCATCCAGAAGACCGGGGAGATGGGGAGGCACAGGAGCTGTTTCCTGGGGCAGCTCTGCGCTTCAGAGGAGGAGGGGAGAAGTCAGGAACCATGGAAGATGGCCAGTTGCTTAAGGCTACTGTGGGTCTAGTTCTGCTGACCCTGACAACAGCTCCAGAACCCCCAAGAGCTGGGAGAAAATCCCAGGGTCCAGAGGCTATGCTACCCCAGCTGTGCTGTTTTCCCTGCCCTGGTTCCTTCTGCATTTATTTATCTGGGTGCCCTCATATGCTGCAGCGGGTTAGATGCTGTTAATAAGGTTATTTTCACACGTGATAAAGGTAAATTTGAAAAGCGGAACCAGAGGTGTGAGCTCTTCATCCCCTTCCAGGTAACAAATCTTAAAATCCTACAAATGAAGTGATAATAAAGTGGAAGTGAAAAGCCTACACATGGAACCGGGAGGGGTGGAAAGGTTACCATGAGGTGGCAGCTGGAGCTGGAGGGGAAGGAACCCAGAGGGCTCTCTGCCACCCACCACCCCGTGCTTGCCACATGCTGCCCACTTGCCCCGTCCACCAAAACCGGAAACCAAAGGCACAGAATGGGAAACACCCATGACACAGTTGGAAAGCTGAGACCAGAGTGGAACCCAAGGGGGCTAGGGTTGGTTTAGGGTAGAGCAGAGACAACAGGACCCCGAAGATACACAGCCAGTGAAAACAGAAGAACGGGCCTCGCTTCCTGGCTGAGATCAGTATTTCAGTAGACACTTCACCTCTCCGAGCCTCAGTCTTTCCAACTATAAAATGAGCTGGACAGGGCCTCCCTGGTGGCACAGAGGTTAAAGTCTTAATTCTATCAAGCCATCTTCAGCCACTGCAGCACGAGTTCAGTCCCCAGCCAGGGAGCTGACCCACATGGCCCAGCAGACCTCTCCCATCTTGCCTGTTGCTCCCCTCAGCAGTGTATTTCTGTAGACCCACCTGTCCTGCTCCCCACTTTGACTCTGGTGAAGCCTTTCACCCCTGCACCTCTGGCCTACACCCCAGTTCTTGTATGTATAAATAAATATATATATATATATTTTAAAGAGCTAGATGATAAAAAAATGTATTGGAGAGGCTGTTATAAAGTCCTTCAAGTGGGTAAAATCTGTTTGTCAATTATGAAGCAAAATGCAACAGCATTACTATGATCACAACTCTAGTCTCCTGAGCCCTGTGATTTAAAATACTGCTGGCTGCACTTCAGTGTCTGCAATGGTCATGATGCTCATCCAAGGAGATAAAGTCCCCTGAGTTGTTCTCTTACCCTAATAACCCCAAAGTGAGTGTGGGCCACTAGAGAGGGATGTGGCTTGGGGTATCCAGGATGTGGAGTTAATTGCTGAGAATGAGTATGCTGAATCCTCCAGTCTCCAATGAGGAGTCCCCTGCCCTCCTGCTCTGTGGCATCTAAGTTGGGGTGAGAGCACAGGGCAGCCCCGTGATCTTGGCCCACCCACCTATTGCTGTCTGTGCTTGCTCTTCTCATTACTGAGCACTTCTGATGGGCCAGCTCCTTGGTGCTGAGCATCCACGGGAGGATAAGGAACCGCTCAGAGCTTTGCTCTACCCCTAGATAGGGGTACATCTGGGGGTTGGTGCTGTTGGAGGGACAGGGAAGTCTCCCCACACTGTTTAAAGGTTACTCTGAGGAAGCCGGGCTAAATAGAAGCTTACTTTTTCACATTTGGAAAGGCTTTACAACAAATGTATATCCCTCCAAAGACTGAGCCCCACCTCACAGACTAAAGTTGCCAGGCTGCTGAGGGCTTTCTCTTCTTTTGATAAAGGACTTGGGAAATATTAGAGCTGAAGGAAAAACATATGCTGTCATCTCTGTATCACCAGCTAAGTGATAGTAGTAGCTGTGTGCCTTGCACGGTTCTAAGGCTTGTGTATATATTCCTTCATTTAAATCTCACAATGATCCCACAAGGAAGTTACTATTATCATACCTGTTTTGGGGATGAGAAAAATAAGGCACCAAGAGGTGAATTATCTTGCCTAAGATCACATGACTTACCCTTTGGCCCTCCTGATTAACCATTCCCTGGAGTGGGGAGCTGAACCTCCCTCCCAGCCACCAGACACCCCTTCCCATAAAGCCTACCGCCTGGGCAGTTCATACAGGGGCAAGGCTCTCGACTGTTTCTGCTAGCCCAGGATTGATTCTCTGGGCAGCTCCAAGTCTGAGCAGTTAATAAAATATCAGTTACCAAGCATGAAGAGCAAATTCAAGGGCTCCTCAGGCCCCAGGCACAGGCTCTTTTGCTGAGTGAGGAACCCCAGCCTGGATTAAGACAACTGCCTGGGCCAGGAGAGTTACAGACCTCTCAATACCCAGCCAGAGCCAGAGGAGGGTCAGCTAAGTTTTGGGCTACTGCAGAACACTTGCTCATTTTTCAAAGCCCAGGTTCACTGCCTGCTCTTCCATGAAGTCTTCTCAGATTGGACTTCCCTGGCACTTACCTGCTTGTGTTGAAGGCTCTTGAAGAGCATCTTCCAAATAGGAGAATGCCTCATTCACTGCCTAATGTTCCATCTGCCACACAGTAACCATCTATAATAGTAGCTATTCCACACAGTTCACCCCCTTAAACATCTGCCTCTTGTGAGGACCCTGTGATGCACTGCCCTGATCTCCTTCAAGACTGAGGGATCTCTTCCCCAGTGGCTGGGAGTGCTGCCAGCAGATGGCTCTCAGCTACCAGCCCCCCAGGGGGCCTGCCCCTTCTAATGAAAGCTGTCTTGCCCAGGGACCCTTCTCCTCCTCCAATGACAGATCCACACAGGGCTTACTCTCAGGACCACTCTTCCCAGCTTCAGCACTCCCGGCTCAATTTCTCTTTCTGCCCAACCCTTTCCTTTTGTCCCACAGGAGATAATTCCAAGAACATTCCTCAATAAACTTCCTGCATGCTGATCTCCAACTCAGATTGCTGGAAAAGCACCCACTGGCCACGCCTACCCTGAGTCTCATTTGTTTGCTCATTTCTTAGTCAGTCTTACTGAGTACCTGTTAGGTGTCCAGTCTGCCTGGTAGCAAGGGCGCGAGATGGAGAAGGAATCTACCTCTCTGATCAGAACTCCTACTTCACCAAGAAGTCAGAAGTCACAAGGGGGGAACTCCATCAATTTTTACCATGAAATCCACTAATTTCCTAGCACCTCTGCCCCCCTTTCTGTTCCCATGGATGAGATGTCCTGTCAGCCACCACCTGTGCAAGGCCTCCCATGCCCTTCCACTGGAGTGACCAGCCTGTCCTTCTCTGTCTGAGAATGCCCTGGTTTTAAACCACATTCTGTTAAACCCCCTTGGTCTCAGTCTCAACCAGGCAAACAAACGGGGGTAGTTGATGCAGCTTCTCCCACTTTCTTGGGCACTTCACCTACTTCATAATCATACCTCTCTAATAATCTTCAGTTGCTCACTCTATATCAGCTTCTCTCCACTATCATTTAAATCTCCCCTATCCTTAAAAAGCCTCCCCGGACTTCACTTCCTCCCTCTAGCTATTACATCCCTTCTCCGCAACGCTTGACAGTCAAATGCCCTAAAAAAGTTGCTACTACTTTCTCACCTCCCACTCTGATGTCATTGGTGCTGGTGGTCGCCAAGGCTGCCTATGACTCCCTTGTTCATAAACTGAGGGGATACTTTTCAGCCTTCGTTGTGCTTAGCTTATGGGCTAACTCTGAAGTCTAGCTGGCATTCAAGGATGTCAAGACTGATGCCTTAGATTTGGTTTGAGGATGCTTCAAGTTGATCTCTATCTGAAGCAGCTAGCGCACACCCAAGTGCAAAGACCGTGCATTTCAAGTGATGGGATGTGCCCCCCTTTGCCTTCTTTGAGCCCTTGGAGTTGGTGGTCTTGCCACCAACAAGACTGAGCTTGCTCTCTGTCTTTCACAGCCTGCTCTGAAAAATTTTCTGCCGCCCTACAAAGCAAAAATTCTGCATCCAGCCTTCCCATCTGCATTCTAGACCATGAAAGTCTTAGGTCAATGTCAGGCCTTTCTCCCTTGGTGTAGGGCCCAGGGGGTTCCCATTTGTGCCAAGGTGGACTTGGCCGCACCCTAACAAGGCCTCTCAGCAGCCTGGGCTTGGCTGGCTTTCTCTCCTGCAAAATTCATTTCCCTTGGCTTCTGAGATCCAAGGAACAGCAACCTTGCCAAACTTTTCCACTCTTCCTTCAGATTCAGCTTGTATGCCACTTCCTTCTGACTCCACCAAAATTCTCAGTAAGGCCCAGATCTAACACCACGATGCATGCTTGTTTAATGGTGAAATTTCTCCCATAGGCTGAGGGTAGGAGATGAGTGTTTATCATTCACCACCCTATCTTCTGAGTCCACCTGCCTCATATTAGTTCTTAGTGACTGATTATTTTAAATCTTTGCACCAAGCTATTATTATTATTATTTTTTTAAAGATTTATTTATTTGTGCATACAGAACTGGGGTACAAGCCAGAGGCTCAGGGGTGGTGAGAGGCTTCACCAGAGACAGAGTGGGGAGCAGAACAGGCAGATCAACAAAGTACACTGCTGAGGGGAGCAGCGGGCGGGTCAGGAGAGGTCTGCCGCGCCATGTGGTCACCTCCGGGGCAAGCGGGAATCGAACTCATGCGGAAGCGGCTTTAGATTGTCAGTGCTGTGCTTTAACCCACTGCGCCACAAGGAGGGCCACCAAGCTATTATTTTATCCTCTATTTTATAACTGCAAAAACAGAGCCTCTGAGAGACTCCTTGTGGCTTGCCCCAAATTTTCAAGCAAGTAAATGTGCCATTCCCACTGTCCACAGCAGGGCTGGCCTTCCCTCCTTGCCTCACCCTAGCTCACCTCACTTTCTCCAGCTAAGGGTCCAAAACAGAATAGGACCAAGGCAAGGAAGACTTGACCTGCCAGACACAAGAAGCACCTGCTCCCCTGGTGGTTCCTGGACACCCCAAACTCTCTACTGCACCCCAGATCTCTATTAAAATGTACATCCCTAAGGCCCTCCCTGGTGGCTCAATGGGTTAAAACACAGCACTATGAAGCTGTTCACAGCCACTGTAGCACGAGTTCCATCCCCAGTCAGGGAGCTGACCCACATGGCACAGGAGACCCCTCCTGACCCCCCCCCACCGCTGCTCCCCTCCTCAGTGTTTTTCAGTCAATCCACTTGTTCTGCTCCCCACTCAGTCTCTGGTGACACCTCTCACCACCCACACCTCTGGCCTGTACCCCAGTTCTGTATGCATATATAAGTAAATAAATCTTTTTTAAAAATGCACATCCCTGTCAGAGGGAAGTACTAGATACCATTTTTTATGGCAAGAATACCCTGGTTTTCTCGCAGCTTTACAGTAACAACACAGTTCTCTGTTCCATCCTTACTAACCCAGTAGCGTGACTGCTTATTTTATAAAGGGCAACTTCATCTCAGGCAAGTGAATAACGTGTCTGGGCCAAGCCCCCCACCTTGAAGGCAAGTCTGGCTTGTTTTGCCAACTGTTTTCTCACGTGCCCAGATCAGTGCACAGGCTGTGTGGGGATGGGCCTGGTCAGTGACAGTCTAGCCACTGGTCTTGGGAGCCATCACATATTTGCCCCAAAAAGTCGTGGACAGCTCTGGCCTTACCGATGTGGGGGTTTCAGATCGGCGCTTTCCTGAGTGGGGAGGACGTTACTTCGGAGTCACCACACAGCTGAGGACTGGACAGAGAGGGAAGCGACTTTCCTCTCAGCATTAATTAGTGATTAAGTTCCTACAGCTTGGGATCAAGTCTCCCCTCTAGCGCAAGGCTGTCTCTGTCTCTCCCATCTCCTCAGCCCCAGCTTTGGGGGTCCGCGTGAGCCTGGTCACCAGAATCCACGCCCTGAGGGGGTGGAGCCAGCGCTGCCCAGCGGCGTCCAGCGGGCACACTGTCACGTTCCACTGTCCATTCCCGATGCCAACAGCGCGGAGGATCGCTCCGGGCCTTCTCTGGCTTCTGGAGATGAAAGTTGCTTTTGAAGTTTTTTCTTGAGGTGGTTGAGGATCGAGGAGAGACCCTGGACAGCAGCTACAAGTTCCTCAGTGAGTAACCCAATTTTGGTCTCAGAAGCGACATGCTCGAAACGTGTTTGACGTGTGGTTGCTACAACTGGTGAGGAGCCCGGTTCCACCGACGACGGCGTGTGGGGCGTGGCCCTCCTCGCGTACCCCAATCGCAAACTCGCTTCAGCGGGCCGTCGAGTCGGGGCTGCCTAGGAGACTCGGCAGCTCACCTCAGCCCGCGGAAGTGGAAGTGCGCAAGCGCACTGTCGACGGAGCCCGCCACTTCAGGGCTGTGCTTTGTGACTTAGGAAACAACCAATCAGCGGTCCGGGCGGCGGCCAATGGGAAGCGCGGACGAGCCCACCGGCTAATTTGAACGCGCAGCGCGGGGCGGAGGTCGGCCCGCGGCCGGGAGGGTTGTGGGCTGCGATCTCGGGTCGTCCGGGGCTCTGCGTGTGGCGGAGAGACCGGGGAGGGGGCGAGTGGCGACAGCTGCAACTGGACCGGCGACAGGTAAGCTGCTCTGGTCTGAGGCCGGAGCCCACCGGGAAGGTGCGGCTCGGAGACCCGCGAGTTTGGCGTGGTCTGGTCTGACCCGAGCGTGGGGGGGGAGGGGGCGGCAGGGCACTTCCTTTTACTTTTGCACCGGAGCTCTGACACTTCCGCTCGTTTGTACTGGACCTAGACGGGCCTGGGACCTAGCCTGGCCCCGCACCTCCGCACCGGCCTGGCCCTCTTGATTTCCGCTCGTGGGTGTAAGGAAAGCTTGGCCCTTCTGCACGCTGGACCCCCTGCACACCTGTATGGAGTAGCTAAGACCGTCTCTGCACATCTGCTACAGATAATTGTGCATTTGTAACTTAGTACTGGGGCACTCCGTAAACATTTTAATAAAGGAGGGGGTTTTGAAAGAGCATCTATGACAGAAACCAGGCCTTCTGCTTTTGCTCCTAGGATACCTCTCCTGTAAGGTTTGAAAGTGTAAGGTTTGATTCTGTAAGGTTCTGAAAGTGGCATGACAAAGGTAAAACCTATTCTGTGCCAGGTGAAGCGTGGGGAATTTTACTGAAGACATTGACTGTTCTGACATCTTGGGAAAATGTGTGTCATATCAATTCTAGTAATACTAAGGTTTGTTGACACATTTGTTGACTTAACTCACAGTGAACCTATGAGATACTTTTTTTTTACATTCACAGGAAGCTCAGAGACTAATGTCTACAATTTTTTAAAAATGTTCAGTGTTACAGGACTTTTCCCCATCTTCCCCCTATTCTACTTCTTCTCACATCTCAAAAGCTACTATATCCAGCTCTTTTCTGCCTATTTCATAATTGAATTCCCTCCCTTCAGAGACGGTAACTTTAAGATGTCTCAATTTGTTGATCTTTCTTTATATTATCCAAACCAACTCCATTTGTATCTGTCTGAGGAAGGTATACCAGTAACATGTTTTTAGAAGCACTTATAAAAATTGTCTCTATCTGGTCATAAGCAAAGTTGAATAGTTATCAGAATACAAAATTAAAACAAGCTCATGTTTGGGTATTTTAAAAACAACACTTAAATAACTTGGTCAAATAGGATATCACATTTGTAATTAAAGGTAATTAGCATGAAACAGTGGTAATCCTATTTATAAAACTTGTGGGATGCAGTTAAAACTATGCTTAGCAAGTAATTTATAGTCTTAAATGCTTACATTCAAACTTTTTCAACTGAAGTTGGTGAGGCAAATATCCAAAATTAATAAGATAGAATAGGACAACAGAAGAATTGCATAGAAGTTAAGAGGCGAAATTAATTAACTGGAATCTTACTGTACACTAGAGGATTAACATAGCCAAAAGCTGTAACTTTCAAAAGACGAATAAGAGAGCCAAACCTCTGGCAATATATACATATATGATTAAAAAATAAAAGAGACATAGAAAAATTATCTTAGTGATGAAAAGAGGGACATAACTTCAGGGGCTAGGAGATTAAAGAGAGAACAACTTCAATGGAACACCCTTTTGGACAATTTTGCAGTGAAAAATAACTTACCACACTGACTCAGGAAATTATGAAAAATTTGAATAAACCTAGGATCAGTGAAGAAATTGAATTCGTTTAAAATCTACCTTCACACACACACACACACACACACCCTAAACTCCACCAAAAATGTATAAACAACTGAAAGAGATGATTCTGACTTTATACAAAACTCTCTCCCTAAAAAAATAGAAGACATTTCCAGTCTACTTTGTGATACCAAAATAAGGCCAAGAAAATTATTAGTCAATCTCTTTTTACAAATGTGGTTGGAAATCGTATATAAAATATCAGCAATCAAAAGCCAGTAATGCATTAAAAAGAATACATAGGTTTATCTCAATAATTTGAGAATAGTTTAACAATAGAAAAATCTATTAATACAATCTTTGTATTATAGACTAATAGAACATACCCATTAGACATAGAAATAGAATTCAATAAAATTCAGTACCAACTCATGCTTTGAAATTTTTTTGTAAGCTAGAAATAGTGGTAATTATGAAAATTATGAAATTTATGAGCTAAATAAAAAATGAAATAATGGGAGTATCCCCTATAAAATTGGGAAAAAGATAAGATTGTTCACCATTGCTGCCTCTGTTCACTATTGCACTGGAAGTCCTAGCCAGAACTGCTAGACAGCTCCTGGTTGTCTTAAAAAGCACAAGTCCACAGCTCCTTCCTCTGCAGGACCAACCCAAAAACCAATTGTCTTTGTTCTATGGATACTAAGGTGGAGGGTGAAGGGGGTTAGGAGTGGCAAAAACCCACTTGTAGGGCAGGATAGCCTAGGGATGTGCCTCTGGGGACAGAACAAGGCCATGCTTATGACAAGTTCCTTCCTGAGCATCAGTTTTCTTTGTGAAGTAAGGACTTAGCAAGTGTATCAATAATGAGATTGATGTGAAAGTTAAATGACTCCATTTGTAAAGCAAGTAGGATGGGGCCTAGTACATAGTAAGTGCTCAATAAATGTTAGCTAGTTAATAATAGTGTTTAGATTTGGATTCAGACTCTGATCTTCTCTGGCCTTTATTCATGTCTAGGGCAGATATTATTCAGTGAGTTTTGCTTGCTGGGTCTGTGCACAGGCTATACCAGAAGGGGGTTCTGTTCACTTGAAGCTTAAGGATAAAAAACACAAGAGTGAGTGTTTTAAAGGAGAGATGAAGCCCCTATAAAAATAGAACCTTCAGGACTAGGCACTTTCTCTGCCTTCCTCGTTCCCAGTATCTGCAGGCAGATCCCCTCCAGTCCTCAAATATTCTTCTCCAGGGGCTTCTAAGGAGCTGGCTTATTTTGACTGTCCCTGTGAAGGTGAGCAGAGAGACTCCCCTGAAAACAACCGAATATTTGCTTCCAGGTCCCAGCCCCAGCTCCGCAGTGAACTGGCCTCTGGGTTTTAATGAGCTGCCCTGGGTTAGAAACAGGACGTGACTGTGGATGGCTCAGAACCCTGAAGATCTTATTAAAGAATCATCTCCCTTGTACTTTTGGGCTGAAATGCTCTTTCCAACCGAGGATCAAAGCAAACTTGACAAACGTTCTCTCATTAATCTCCCCATCCTCCTGGGGTGGGAGCAGATTGGTAGCGCTTCTCTCTGGCTCTCAAAGCAGGAAGCTGATGTGACTTGGGGCATGTGGCTGGTAGAAAGATCTCCCCACCAGTCAGATGCAGAATCTAAGACCCAGGTATCCAAGCTATGGCCATGCCAAGTGTTACTCCCTACCGCCAACACGTGCCCCCAGCACTGTCTTAGGAAGAGGAAAACATCTCATTAGGCAAACAGTCTGCTGTGCTGGCCCTCAGGAGGCGGAGAGGAGAGAACTGTAAAGGTTATGGACACTCTGTTGCCAGTGCCCTTTTTAATTTCCTGCTTAGAATGTTAGGCTTCTCTGTGGCTCCTCCTCAATAAAACCTTCCCCCTGGAAAACTGAGACTGCCATTATGGAAGCCAGCACTACCCAGACTATAAGGCTGCACCTTCTGCCTGCATTTCCCTGAGTGCCAGTGTGGGTGAGACACAAGAACTCTGTGTGTTGAACATTAGGTGCAGTCCATATATCTGAAGGTGCATATACAGAATACTGATTGCATAAAGAATCTGTTATTATATATAAACACAAGAGACTATTGCAACATCCTTTTCAAAGCAGCATAATATATAATGTTATGAGGGGGCGGAATAGCTGGCTGTGCCCTCAGACTGTCTAGGTGGGAAGCAGACTCCATCACTTACGGTATTGCGACTTTAGGGAAGTTCCTTACAAATCCTGGCTCAATTTTCTCATTAGAAAGTGAATATAATATCTGTCTTGTGAGATTGTGGTACAGAGTAGACATGCAAGTAAGGAAGGTGCTTAAAACCATTTCTGATGCATACAGTGAGCACTCGGTTAGTGTGTGTAGCATGATAACAGTGTGGGGACAGGAGTAGAACATACACACATCGAAGGTGTTTTGTTTTTTTTTTTTTTAAACAATTATTCCCCTGTTTTGTGTAGGGAAGAAATTTGGGAGTAAAGAGTAGGAGTTTCCAGTGACTTCAATTCTGTCTCATTCCTAAGGAAAAACATGAGTTATTTGCTAGAGAAAAGGTAGAAATCCCACTTGTCTTTGCTGAGTGATGGTAACTGTGACTTAGCCACAGGACCTAGTCTCCAATGGGCAAGCATTCATCTACACACCTCCAGGAACAGCCCTTGTTAATGTAGCCCTAAAATTGGGCTCAACTTTTCCAGGATATCTGAATCTTCCATTCCAAATCTTCCATCTTTACCCTTGGTAGGCTGGCAAGAAGAACAAATTTAAAAACAAAAACACAAGAAGAGTGATCTAAGGAGAATACAAGAGGAACAAGGCAAATAAGTGTTTAAGTCTGTCCATGTCACCTTCTACATTAACAGAATGAAGGAGAAACACTTGTGATCATCTCAGCAAGTGCCAAAAAGAACTCACTAAATTTCTATACCCGCTCCTCATGGGGTGGAGGGTGGGGAACTAAATATAGTAAAGCTAAAAATAGGAAGTAACTGTTGTTATTTGCAAACTATACCACCGTTTAATTGAAAGACCTAAGAGAATCAGTGATAGTATATTAGAACTAATAAAAGGAGTTTAGCAAGTGGCCAGATACAAAATTGCATGCAAAATACAGTAGCTTTTTTTTTTTTTAACACATGTTCTGGAAAAAATGAGTTAGAAACTATAATTTTAAAAGCAGCCTATTCACACTATAATGAAGACTATGCAATGTTTAATAATAAACCTATCAAGGCATATACAAACCCCATGTGAGGACAACTATAAAGTTTTACTGAAGATTATAAAGTTGTAAATAACAAAAAGAGATACTGTGTTCCTACATGGAAAGATTTAATGATTGTAAAGAAACCACTTCTCATATTACTCTATAAATTGAAAATAATTCCAACTAAAATCTTAGCTTTTTCATATAACTTTAAGTTTACTCTTTAATCATAGACAAGGTGCCCAAGAATAGCTAAGACAAAGAACAGTGAGATAATGTTATGTGATTATAATACAATTACTGGAAAAGGATTAAACATCACTAGAACAGAATGGAGAGTCCAGAAACAAAGTTAAGATTATATGAGAATTCAGTTATACTAAATGACATTTCAAATTAGTGGAGAAAGAATGCATTACTTAATAAATGAACTTGAGATCATTGTTTATCATTCAGAAAGAAAATGTACTTCAGAAATCTCACACCATTCCCACAACAATTAAATTCTATTTGGATAATGACCTCAATGCAAGAAAGAAAAAATATTACCTGTACAAATAAGAAAAGAGCTTATTACCTTGATGGGGAGGAATGTCTTCTTAAATATGACATAAAAAACATAAAAGACACATTTGACTCTTTAGGAATTGCAAATTTCACTCTGGTCAGGGTAGGATTTTTTCCAAGAATGCATGGTTGGTTTGATACTAGGAATAATATCAAGTAATTTATTACTGCCAAAATAAAGTGGATAAAGTATATTAACATAATTAGAAATGCTAAAATAGCATTAAATAAAAGTCTAGGTGTTCCTATTAAATCTCAATAAAATAAGTATAGAGTAAATTGATAATGTGATGACTATTTGTCCAAGATAGGAAAGCACTAAAGCCATTTTCTTTAAAATCAAGAACAAGACAGGATGCCCATTATCATCATTATTACTCAGTGTTGTTTTAGAAGTTCTAGAGAATGTAATAGTTGGGAAATTAAACCTTTGTAATAATGCAGAGAAGAAAAGGTAAAAAAAAATGTTTAATTTTCTAATATATAGTTGTGTACTCAGAAAAATAGCAACAAGCCCTTTAAAATTAGAATTAAGAAGAGAATTTCAGAGTAGTGGATAAAAGGCAAATGTATAAAAATCAATTCTACTTCTCCATCCTAGCAATTGCCTCCTGGAAATGAGGATGAGGAAAGGTGTTCCATTTATAAGAACAATTAAGTCCATAAATCACTTGGGAATTATGTTGAAAGGACTATTGCAGAACCTACCGTAAGATCTATGAAATCTTATTAAAGGACATAAAAAAATATCTGAACAAATGGGCAATAGCCATGTTCTTGCTTGAAGGTTTTCATATAAGATAAATATGTAAGTTTAATACAATTCCAATTGTAATCCTTGTAGGATTCTTGGGGTGGTTGGGAGTTGTGGGTTGGTGATGAAATTAATCAATTTTCCTTAAAGTCAAAGAGAGGGCCCTCCCTGGCGGTGCAGGGGTTAAAGTGCAGCACTAGGAAGCTATCTGCAGCCACTGCAGCATGAGTTTGATACCTGGCCAGGGGGCTGCCCCACATGGCGCAGCAGACCTCTCCTGTATCGCCTGCCGCTCCCCTCTGCATTGTATTTTGGTCAGTCTTCCTGTTCTGCTCCCCATTCTTGTCTCTGGTGAATCTTCTCACCCCTCGTACCTCTGGCCTGTACCCCAGCTCTTGTATGCATAAATAAATAAATCTTAAAAAAAAAAAA